ACCATCTGTGCCAGCTGTTTTTGATACGCAGTAACTGGCTGGAGATCCTGGTCTGCCGCACGGCTTGCGCAGCGCGACGACGATGAGGGACTTCATCGCAGCGCAATTCAGCATCTACCTGCTCAACAGTCTCGCCTGCCAGGCTCGACGAACCGCCAGCGGACAACGCTCATCGGGCGTTAAGGGCTGGCATGCGAGGTGCGGCGCAGCTCCACCGCCGGCGCCCTCATGCCGCGCGCAGCCTCATACATGCCGCGACACAGGTCGCACTTTGGCTGTACGCGGTGCATAAAAAGATTATGGTGGTCGTATGACGGAAGATTGAAAATTGCTGCGCTAGAGAGAATAAATATCGTGGATGAGGAGAGTGAGAGAGAGAGATGGGCGCGGTGGCGTGCAGTGAGAGAAGAAAGCAGTGTGTGTGAGATTGTGAGAGAGAAAAGAAGTGTGAGTGAGGACGCAGAGAGAGAGAGAGATCTGCATCAGCATCTACCCTGCCTCAAACTAAGTCTCGGCCTTGCCAGCTGGTCACAAGCCTGCCAGTGCAACCTCAATTGGCAGTAAGGGCGGCAGTCGGAGGTGCGTCAGTGCGCGCTCACCACCCGGCGGCGAGATAGAGAGAATAGATTAGATAGAAAGATGAGTCTGCCGCGCCGATTTGTTTTGTTTGTCTTGTCCCCAGCACGCGTAGCGCGGGTACACGCTGAAACACTGGTCGATTGTGTTGACGAGCGGGTCGGCCGAGTTGTCCGTGCAAGGTCGCTAGTCGATATACTTTATACGTTTATATATCGTAGGCTCCCGGAGAGAGAGAGAGAGGGAGATAAGTAGCATGACCTCGCGATTTTGGTTTCTCTTCTTGTCGCCTTGCTGTCTATTGCTCGCTCGGTATTGCGTTCTGTGTCGATTTCGTCTTCGTTGCATTACCAGCATGCGTTTACATGATGCCGAATACTGCAGAGATGGTAATAGCGACCGCTCAGATGTTTTCTCCAGTCAATGCGTGTTTGGTTGTTCACGTTCTCATTCCATCGCGCTGTAAAGCGAGCGATGTATCCGTCGTGGGCGACGGGCTTGTCATTGGCGGACGCGTGCTGTCAATGGCGCGCTTGTTGCTCGGCATATTGCCAGATCATGTTGAAGGCTGGTGGAGGGACGCTTGCACAACAAACCGTGGGACGGAGGTGTGATGGAGATCGCGTGGAGCACCATGTGGCAACGTCACAGGTCCAGGCTGCCAGCACTAGCCTTTAACATTATATCACTAGCTCATTACGAAGCAACCGCTAGCTTAACGTTCTATATCACTAGCCTTGTTAACGATCCAACGCTAGCTCTAACGTTATATCACGTACGCGTTGTTAACGACCGCAACCGCTTAAGCTCTAACAGATCCATGTCACTAACTCCCGTTAACTGAACCAACCGCTAGCTCTAACGATTCACTCACTAGACTGTTGAGACGAGCCACCGCTAGACTCTAATGTATCCATCACTAACTCGATCTAATCTACGTGGGAGCCCGATTTAAGCACCTCGCTCCTCTCACTGAATGTGTCTTATCTAGTTTGTGCTTCTATCAAAGTGCACTGCCGAATTGTCAACTTTGATGGCACTTTTATCGATGAAGCGTATTCGGTCTTTTAGAACGTCCTATCTCAGCATGATTTTGGTTATAACTGGCCTCTCGTTTCCTTGCTAGTTGGATAGGTCAATTTCATGGCCTCATGCCTTCTTCTCTAATGCTTGCCGAAATGTGCTACGTGTTTTAGTCGTACATACAGACATTATCTAATGCTTATATTGACAATATTGCCGCCAGTAGTAGCGACGCCGTTGGTTTGCCATTTTGATGCCTTTGCATAATGATTTGATTAACATGCATTATTTATAAGGTCGAATTTGGCCAGTACAATTTACACAGCGGGTGTCACTCTGCACTACAATCGACACGACAGTCGATTTTTGCTTACAGACGAAACGTCCGGCACAAGACTGTAGGGAGAGTTTCTAGAGAACAGGGGGGGAATGCAGTTGTGTTGTGCGCTGCCTAGGCGTGGTCAGATTGGCCGCGCTATCGGTGCGTCAACATGCTCCGCATTAAACCACGAGGAGTGTTTGTGAACTCACGCGTTATAACCACGAGCGGGTTCTACAGTTCTCGTCATTCTAGGTTCGAATAAGTTTACGCGTAGTCGCTGTTCATTTCCGTGAGTAATTCCATTCCTGACTTCTTCGCACGTTTTTTTGCGTTCAGGCGTTTCGAAGAAAAGGACGACGTTGCTACGTAACCATGCTGCGGCTGTTGCTAGGCGGGCAAACGTGGCCGGACGGTGTCATCAGAGGGCTGGCGATGCCATGATCATGAAGAGGAGTCACACTCATCCTGCTTTCAAGTACGTGCGGGATTTTTTGCATTGCTGCTCACCATCCACAATAAATCCGTCCCTTCGTTGTATACTGCTCGGAAAAGCTGGCTAGATCAACAGAGAAAACTGCACAAGTATAAGTCGAAATTTTGCGCCCGTTGATTTTCGCGATTGTTTACCGAATGTGGTGGCGACCACCCAGCAAAAAAGTCACCGGAGCCGACACTGTTGCTGTCTTTGATAAACATTAAAAAGATTGTAGAAACGAATTTCGGCGAACCGTGAATTTCAGTCGGAATCCTCATATTTTTGTTATTATGTATGTTGCATTGCCACATGAGGATGCTGCGAACTGCAAACTGTCCAAACTGTCAAGGTACTGCTTGCATACGTACTGGTACACGCGATATTCCCACAATCTTCGGGGCGCGCGCCTCCAACAAACAACGTCTACATGTGCACATTCGTGCGGCGTGGAGGGTGGTGCCAATCGTTTCTTTTTCGTGCGGATGCTGTATATATAATATGTATAGTGATACCTATATATAATATATATATATGTGGGACACATATGCGTGTTACGCATACTGTATGTATAAAACGGAGCGTACCAGTACGGGCGTTAACCATATACGATGCTTAGCCGTGCTTACACTATATACTCCTACACCGCTGTCCTGCGTCCGACCTATTTTCCTGTCCATCGTGCGTCCCTGTCCCCCAACGATTGTTTACAGCGAGCTGCTGCGACACAGAGCGATGTAGATCTATGACTCTACTCTATCCATTTATACGATTCAACTGGCCCTTGGGTACACATTAGCATACCAATTATACATTACACACTACTGGTTTACATTTCCACCTGCGTACTGGGGGCTAGCCCTCCGCTCATACTGATCACTTTCCTTCCCCTATGAGTTTACACACATACTTTACATCCACGGCGTACCTGTACATACAAAACACATACTGTACCATCCACTTAGGCGTTACCGTGTCAGACACTTATACATCACGTGCTCA